TTCAACAGCGGTCTCTTTGACAGATGTGATGAATGATATAATATTATATATAGTAAAGCACTTTTTTCTTCTATCGTATTTAGGTGTCGACAATTAGAAAAGTTATTGGGTGATGAGGGGTTTTAAAATGACATAATTTCTTTTTGACTACAAAAAGAGAAAATGRAAAAATATTTTTTTTAATATATTCTGCATGGTAAATGGATTTTTTTTCACCGGGTTATATTGCAACAAAGTATTTTTTTCGCGCTATAATTTTAAGGTCCACTTYCAACGAAAAGCCATTTCGATAAAAAAAAAGCGTTTTTTAAAAGGTGCTCTCTGATTGGTGCAAATCAAAATCAGATAATTTCGACTTTTCGTATCTGCGGGAAGAGAGCACAAATGTCTACRGATGCACGTGGGGATCTAAACTAAAGTCTCATTTTCTTCTCCCTTCACCCTTCCGCCTTCCCCCTCACGTCTCTACATCATTGGGTCTCCGGAAAACTCGAACTCTTAGTTGCTCTAGCTGAATTGGATATGTATTGAGATGAGATGATTTAGATACCGAAAGAAAGGAACGTTCATTAAGAATAATGAATAACTGATGTTGATTACGAAAATCTGTGCTAGTAGAATTGGCTGATTTAGGTGAATTGTTAGAACGTTGCTTATGGTTTGGAGTGGGGAAGGGGGGGGGTGGAATGTCGCAATAAAGTGCTGACACTATGTCTACGAAATAGAGTCATTTTCATTCGTCTGTAAAACAATTACTACTAGTCAGTGTTTAATAGTAACTATTAGGGTGTAATAGGCTACCAAAAGGCAAAATCAAAAGCGTTTTTGCCTAATTAATTTGTCCATGTCATAAGTTGAACTACTTGGCGCTAATAGGGGGTAGTAGTATTTAATAGTACAATTCCTAATTTTACAGACCGTTGAAAATGACTCTAAAACTTAAATAGTTACCAACAAATAGTTTTTATTTAGTGACTATTAGTCACTAGCATTCAACTGGATCAACAATAGAAAGATCTTTATTTACATTGTCCTTCATTTTCAATTATTGTTAAAACATAAAAATATGGTTTCCCCTGTGTATTTGCTGTCATTACTAAGTATGCTAAAGCTGAATTATAGTGACTAATAGTCACTAAATAAAAACTATTTGTTGGAGTCATTTTCACTCGACTGTGAAGTAGGAATTCTACTATGAATTACTATTTGGTACTTTTCAGTCATGCTTAAGCTATTCCACTATCTAATATCCAACCTTCTTAAAACAGCTCTAAATTACTAATGTACTTCACACAATACATCACTGAGGCTCTGCTGAAAATTTGGACAACTAAAAGTGTCGCTATATTTCACTAAAGTTTGACTGACACTCGTTCATTACTTAAAACCTTTAGCGAGCRTCCTCACGATAAAATGCGCGCGGAAAAAAAAAACAATTTCTTTAAAATAACGAGACAAAAGTTTTATATTCAAAAGGTTGTTAGTATCTATGTCTTTTATTTGGTTACACAAAGATATGAAGCAATATAGAACCAGCTGTGGTTTCACGACCATCAAGATAGCACAAGCTACATGTCGCCCCATGTAAGAGAATCCAGAGAACTAGAGGATTCCGGATTCCAAGCCTTGGGATTCCGGATTCCAAAGAATTTTTGTTTTGGATTCTGTATAATAAATGGCCTGATTTTCAGGGTTTGTTTTCCTGAAAATTTTACTTCAGCGTGTCAGTAGCCTGCGCAGGGGCGTCAGCGGGACGATATCCTATGTGTTTTTTAGATATCAAACTTTTTGCTGGATTCCAGATTATGGATTCCAAATATTTGGATTCCGGATTCCAGGATATGGATTCCGGATTCCAAAGCTGTTTTTTAAGTGGATTCCGGATTCCGGATTCTCTTACACGGGGCGATACATGAATAAAACATTAAAGAAAAATGCACGACAAATTAGAATAGACAACATTGTTCGCACGTTTTTTCTTGAYTTAGTTCTAAGTAATCATATGTTCTAATATTTAGGCATAATATACTACTCTATATATGTTCAAAAGTTTGTTTWTATTTKCTTCGTTTAATTTGCCGCGAAGTTCAAACCGTCTTAAAGTGCTCACGCTATGTCCATAAAATAAAACCCAAAAAGTTGATACAGTCATTTTCATCYGTCTATGAAACAATTACTACTAGTCAGTGTTAAATAGTAACTATTAGGGTGTAGCTAGTAGGCTACCAAAATCAAAACCATGTAGTTTTGCCTAATGGGTCTGTTGCAGTCACAAGTTAAACTATTGGGAACTATTGGGGGTAATAGTACTAAATAACGAGTATATATGTAGTGTAGATAAGACTATTGTCTTATAAAAGACGAAGGAATACACTTTATTCGGTGCAATTTAACGCTACTTCATGACTAGAGTTTTTAATGGTTTTAGTGTTCCCACTTAAGCAGAATAAAWTTGAGAAATTTACCAAAATTAAAAATTACAACCGTACAGAAAATGGAAAGTCTCGAAAACATWACCAAAAGCGTGGATGTTTAACYSTCGTTTGGCTTTATTAACACTCGCTGTTAAATAAATTGCTATTTWAAATAGGACGTTCATCAGTATGCTGTATTTAACGTTCTTTAAAGTACTGTATACAGTCATACAGCTAAATAAAAAAAATACATAAATAATGATAATAATAATGATTAAATGAAATATAAAAAAAAGCTGCTAACATATATCACTACCTGGGGTGCATCATGGGTAATTTCATGTTATTTTCGGCATAATCTAGTCGAATTCAGATTAAGATTGGAATTCAAACAAATTCTTTAGAAATATGCTTTTTATCATAAAAAGCATATATCTAAAGAATTTGTTTGCGTGCAGTTAATGACTAATTAAAGGGTAAATTTCGAAATATCAAATACCCTGAAAACAGTCAAAAACAGATTAACCACAGTCCTCTCTTTGTCATGCAATCTCCCTTCGGCAATCGCCATAACCCATTCTCCCCCTGATGTCTTTTTTTTTTTCGATAGATGTATATCAATGTTTTTTCAATAGTTAGAGCTCGGAATTTCTTTCGTTTTTCGTTGTTTGTTTTCTAAGTAAAATAATTAAAATGTTATTTAGATGGGTTTCACTGCATGAAACAGAATTAATGGAAATTTATATATAGTACTGAAAAGGACGTTATTCCGGGCGAGAAACCCGTTGGAAATATATCATGAAAAATATATTTCCGACCTCGCTGGGATTTGAACCAATGAGATATTCATTTAATTGAGTTTTAGTACAAGTCATTTGCCAGCTCTTTACTTCAAATAAAACTGTTCAGTGATATCCGTGTTCTCTGAATCCCATATTGTTGTTTCGTCAAAAAAGGTGTTGAGATCTTAAAACAGATAGAACTTTGCTTGCTAAAATGTTTTAAACGCTTCAAAAATTGTCAAAAGGAATTCATAAGATGAGTGCTATTCACATCAAGTATTTTCTGATTTTATCTTAAAACTCAAAAATAATTATATATAATATTTAAATGAAGTAATYGTGTATACGTATTCCTTATTTTCTGTTTTTATTAATATTTTTCAACAAAACGGCGGATGTACGTATGCAATCTAAAGAACAGTAGCCCTGTAACTATCGATAGAATACACATGTATATATTTAGATATTTAAATTTGTATCAAGTGCTGATAACTTAGCCGATAACACCCTAACCCCTACCCTCCTTCGTAAAGGTAATTGCACCACACGGCGAGTTTTAATGTCCGCTGAAAAGGCTTCAAAGACGAGTGAATTGTCATCAATAACAAGTTACAAGTACTGTCAAATTATGGAAGAGACATCCCCCTCGGCTCATTTTATTTGACTCATTGGGACCTATTACTTTTTAATTTCATTTAAACATTTTTAGATAATCTATTTTAACGAACTGTCCTTGGTATCTGAAGTAAGATAATATTCACTTTTACTCAGTTCAATCGATGTTGTACTTTATTATTATATCTTCTGCTTGCCTTTTCTGTAATCTGTCGATCGACTTCTAAGTGGTCTTGAAATTATGGCATACACGTACGTCAAAAGTAAAAAAAGGAGAACGTCTGAAATGAAAATGAGACAGCTTGTGTTTCTTCAATGCAACAAATTGTGATCGATGTTTGACATTTTTATTATTATATTACATCTGCTAATCCAAATTAAAATCGTTGCTTTCTRAGGAAACCTTGTTATTTTTAATAATATTACGAGCTTGATCCTTTTTACTTGTTCGCCTTATTCATGCATTCATAACACTAGTCACTAGGTTGGATTCGTGTCTGCCTTGAGGCTATAAGCGGCTACGGGTATTTGCGAGTCAATTTTCCGATCCATTCGATTATTTTAATAAATCTGATTATTATTTTAGCACGTAGGCGCAATTGATGGCTTTTTTTTCGCRAAAAAAAATCGTGCTCACAAAATCCTTTTTCAAATATCAAGATTTCTTCTTGTCATCTCTCTTGAAGTGGAGATTCAAGGATCATCAGAATCGTCATAAATTCACCTAATGAGATAACAGTAAAAAATACGAGCATTGCACGTACATCAAGAAATCTGATATAATATTAATTTTCTTTTTAAGATTTGCGTCCAAATATTTTTGAATCTGCGATATTTTTCGGGCGGCGAAAGGTTTGTAATTATTTGGTTAAAGACACAAAAGGCATTTTAATGAGATGTTGCAAGAAATCTTGAAACAAGTTTATTATTACAGGAAGTACAGACAAAAACTTCGTTATTATTGGGCAATTTCAGTGGAAACTGATGAAGTGAAGGAGAAATAAAGAGATGAAATTATTGACATTTGCAGTTATTTAGACTTGAAGCTTTTATATAAGAAATTACCAGGCATAAATTAAACACAAATTTATAAAAAAAAAGAGTGAGTGAGTGAGTGAGTGAGTGAGAGGAAAATGAGAGTTTTTGGAAGGAAGGAAGAGGCGAAACTACGTAATTATCGCACAAGTACTGATTTTATCGTCCTTTATTCGACATATTCCCACGTCAGCTAGTGTTATTTTTGATATTTATGACTACAACTATGGTTTTTACTGACAGCTAGTTTGTACATTGCATTCAATATTGTTATTACATGGTCTCCAATCGTCAAGTGCGAATTTTAAGCCATTGTGATCCACGTACACATTGTTATTTTATCACTGGGCTATTACAGGCTTAACTTGAGCAAATATCTTGCTTAAGAGATCTCTTAAGATCAATTCTTTTTGTCACCTATTGYACAACATTGTAGCCCCTAATGAGCTGCAGCAAAATAATTCTTGAACTTAGATTTTGGCTCTAAAACCCAGATTTCCATTAAATCTGTTTGAAAAAAATCGTTTTTGATTTAATGTCACGCAGAGATTACGATTTGTTACGTCCTCGATGTAGTGTTCCTTTTTTTGTTTGTTTGTTTGTTTGCTTGTCAGGTTTTGGTCTCTAAAGCTCTTAGATAAATATATCTCATTAGACTTTTGATATGGACTGGTCTGCTCTTCCGCCTTGGTAGCTTGTTGTGTATTTGGTGCTGGTTATGAAACTTTCCGACTGGCTGAAATCTCCTCTTCTTCGACTATGTTGGCTGCAATGGAGACACATATTGGCTGTCACTCGCAGATCCTTTGTCAGGAAAATGAAGATCGCAGGGTTGATGGCGGCAACGATTAGCGGAAGATTTGACAAGAAGTCGTCGGCTGCGGAAAACTGCTCGACTACCGCACAACCCTGGCAGAATGCTTCATATACAGTGATTCCGTAGTATGTGTTCCACATGAACAAAAATGGAACAGCAAGAACAAAAATATTCAGGGATATTTTCAACTGCTTGCGGACTGTTGAGGCCTTGGAAAGAGGGTCAGAGAGCTGGTTGGCGGGAGCTCCGTGCCGAAGGTGCATCATTGCTATGAGAAATATTCTCACATAGCAGTACATAGAGATGTTACATGGAATAAAGAAATTGAAAACAAACAGAATGACCGTGTAGACTTTGAGATATTCTGATTGTGTTGACGGGTTCAACGCACCCCAGCGGATGAACGACGTTACAGTTGARTACACCCATACAGCAACTATAGCGATGACCGCTCGGGTGTGAGTCATTGTAGAGCCGTAGTGRAGGGCATGGTTAACCGCATAAAATCTATCGTAGCTTACCACAGCTAGACCGATTACTGAACCCGAGCTGAAAATTAGCTCCAATGTCTGAAATGTCAGAAARCCTAGTTTATTACTCTCCGCGCATGAGATGTAGAGTATACCCCATATGAAACCCAGTACCACAAGAAGRCAATCTGCCACCGCAAGATTGACCACGAAATAATTGGTTACAGTTCGTAGTTTCCGTCGTAAGACGAAGGCCACGCAAATAAAACCGTTTCCYAGCATAGCAGTAACAAAGATCAATGCTAGTAAGGTGTGGTGCACTGTAGTATAGTGAGAGCAATTTTGCCCTTGCTGTTTTGTWAGATTTGGTTGAAGCGCTGTTATTGTACTCGGTAAACTTGTAGACGGCATTATTGGCAATGCTGAATSTAMGTTTCTTGATTGACGTTCTTTGATGTCTTTAAATACGTGGGACCTCTTTAAAAAATCACTATGAACATYAACATCTGTCTTTTTTTGTCTTTGAGATTTGAAAATATTTCGATATTGGAAAAGGCGATCGAAATATATGAACGCTGTGTTTGTTTTCTCTCTATTTGACAGCTATTAMATCTGACTGTTCTTAACACGTTTTACGGTCCAATCCATTGATGTTGGACGGCGACTGTCAAACGGCCATATTCAATATGGAACACAGTAGGTTATAAACAACTTGGTGAATTACACTGGTCGGATAATAAACTTTAACAAGAAGACCTCGAAGACCGTAAATTGCCTTTGAGACCACAAATGATTTCTGATTTAACTTTCTGAACGTAGTGTCTTTGATGTCTGCTGATCGCTAGCTACATCTTCGAGTGATGGTGACGGTTAAAATGCTAAGTTTGTGGGAATAGCTACCTTATTTGTATGCCCCGACAGGTGCTGCGAATGGATGGCCTAGAGTGCGTATACATAATCCCATAACATCGATCACCTGCCATGCGCAGTTGGTACTTCCTTGGCCATTTGGTTGACTCTCAATCCATATTTGACAAGCTCTTGGTGACGCTCAATACCTCTCGCAAATACTCTGAAGTAAATACTATTTCAAGTCTAAACAACTTAGTGCGATATTTAAATAGTTGAAAGCATATTATTAATTTTAACAGGACCTAATATTGTAATTTTGCTTTAGGTTTGRAMGTGTTTTCGACTGATTTTCGACAATTTAKTTTTCGATGTTATTTTGCTTTCGTTGACGCTACTACGAGCCTTTCCGCTCAACATGGTAACCCCCGTTGACTACAAAGAGCTCCATGAAAGTTTCACTTCAGAACCTCAGTTGGCTATTGTTTCTTTTGCATAAACAATACAGAACGATCTCAGTGTGAGGCTTTAGTAATATCATTATGAACCCCTTTTCGCTTAGATAAATACAAAGATTTCGATGCAGGCCGCTTGATGAACTATACATTAAAAGAGAAATAAACTTCATCAATACTTGGAGTGTAAAGACGCCGTATTTATCACAAAATATTCCATTAGATGAGTTAGGGCGCTCTTTCAAATATGTTTGTCTGTCGCACTTCTTTGGCGGAACCAGGGAAAACCTGTTCAAATTATATTAAAATGATGTCGTGATACTCTTGTGCAAGACATTGAAGATTATTTTGAAAATCAAGAATTTAGAGAGAGACCTCTGCAGATGTAAAGAAAATCTGCTTTTTTATGCGTAGGAGAGACTAAGAAAATGCACAGACAACCGTCTGACTCGAGTAATGCACACCCAATAGTATTTTGACAAAGAAATATCGGGGAAATTACCATGGCAAAGAAAACAAAATTCGAAACTTACGCAAGTGTAGACAGTCGTTTTTGCCCTGACATAATTCATTGAATGGTTTACACAGCGAAAATCAACAATTTARATGTTCAAATTCACAAAATTAAATTATTTGAAAGGATAGATTAGATTTACTACAAAAAATTAATAAATAATGTTGAGATAATTCCTTGATTGTTGTCTACTCAAAGAAGTATGTTTGGAAAATCGAGCAATGGAATTGATAAAGTTTTGGAAAATAAAATTTTGGCGTAGAAGACATTCTGAATAATAACAAATAATACAAACAATAAAATAAACATGGTGTCATTCGAGCACAAGTGTTTTTCCGACTAACTATTGCTGTAGTTTATATGTGGTAGCTATAGTTTAAATCTTGGGTAATAATCTAATTTTAAAGGAGCTTCTCGCAGTTGTGAAGAAAAACAAGAAATTGAAAAATTGAAAATTGGGAAGTGGAATATATATACGTTGTCGAGGAAAACATCGTCTTAATAAAACAAGACTTATAATCAATACTAAATAGATACAAATAATATAAATACATAAGACTCGCACCTAAACAAAGTAAAAATAATAATAAGCTTTAGATAACGAAAAGCAAGATAATACAATACAAACGGAACTCAAAATAAGAATAACAATAGTCTTTAACCTCAAAAAAAGTACAGTGTTAGTAAAATGCAAATCAACTGGAGATTGAAAAATAAAAAAAAATGACAAAAAAATGACAAAAAAAGACTTTGGCTTTATCGAAGATGAATTCGGCAATCTCTACTAGCTTATTCGACAAATTTGTATTGGTTTAAAGAAGGGGGGRAAAAATTGCTCGAGCTTTGATCTTATCATTGCATAAAATTTCCAGCGATTGCTTATCAGGAGCTTAAAAAGGTGTTTTGTATTGCAGTAATGAAAGATTAAGATTTTCTTTTGGCGAAGCGGAATCCTTAAAGCTTCTGTTTCAACCATTTTGAACCACTGTAATCTTCCCCGTCTTACGCGATCAATTTTCAAAGATACTTGGTGATAAGTTGAAGTGAAAACGCCAAAGAAAAAACGGAAAATCGAGATTTTGATTRTCCTTGTCAATACATTCGGGAGATTGTATAAGAAWTGGCAAGCTCAGGGCGATAACAGGGCTATTTTGTTGCCGTATTAGTAAGAAAAATCTTTAAAAATGACATGAATTATAGGCAACGCCACTGATATATTCAGCTTTCCCACAATTTCGGTCGATCCAATGAAAAACATGTAGTATTTTTGATATTAATGATATTTTTTTCAGTAAATCTGATTCTGATCATATTTTTTTTGTTCGCTTTGGACAATAAGCAGTTGCTAAGAGTCTAAAAATCCTTGCTCCAACATCACCRTATGTTATCATTTTCCCTTTAGATTTACGAGGGTAATTCTTTATGCGATCAAACAATGCATGCCTTAAAAGTAGGATTATAGGACTATTAAATCGATAATCCATCTTAATATGTGCTGCCGTTTGGTTTTCACTTTTCATCCGTACTTCTGGATTTAATCGCTTACGTAAACCATTCTTCTGTCGACATGTTTAGTAACATGCTCGTTTGCTAGCTTTCAAATATTACCACTTAAATGCAGTCAAAGTGAGAAAATTCATCATTTTTAAAATATATTTTAAGTTTTCGCCTATATTAAGGATCTCGCAAATCCTATATGTTAATTATTCCATAGACACTCAGCCCTATGGCCAATTGACTAGTAGTACATTCGATGTCTCTAGATCATAGGCCTAAGACTGCAATGGCGCATGGGATTGTATGTGGCTTGATAATTATAAATCCTTTGGGTTTATTGAGCTATGAAGCTCACTACGATATAGAGAACCAATGCCCTTGTGTTCACTACATTCCCAAGTGCTTTTTCCACTGATAAACTAGCGGAGTACACGGTTTAATTTCATTCATAATCAAAAAGTCTCATTTCCTCGAGACCGTTTGTAAGTTTACCGGCCCAAGTAATTAAAATATCACGCTTTTGGATCAGTCGGGGCGCGCGTAATAATCTTAGTCTATATCAGTCATATTATCGTATAAACGATGCACATTGGTATCTGCTTCTCTGATCTATTTTTCTTGCCGTCTGAATTTGCAGCAAAAAAGCCTGGACTTGCGACCCTTTGGGATTTTAGCGAAGTTTTGATCAATCGGTTAACTTTGATTGCCCTATTTATTACACAGAACAGCCTCATCAGTACGAGGGTACATATGTATCTCAGTTAAAGTGATTTTTCCCCTTTTTTTTAATTCTAATTCGAAGGGAAAAAAAAGAAAAAAAGGAAAGAAAAATAATAATTAATGTCTAGTTTGCGTTACACGGTTTTCGCGGTAATAACGCAACTTCAAGATGTTACATAGATATAACTTATAATTAACGCAAACTCTACTCTTGAATTCGTGTACTGAAATGGTCTCCGTAACAAGTGGCCGTAGGGCAATTGCATTTGGCTTCAATGGAAATTTTCCCGTCGAAAAGTAAATTGCGTATTTGTATATCTATTAGGCAATCTGTAGTTAGGAAGTGGTTTGATAAGCAATCTGGAAGTAAACACCCTCAAATGTTCAAGTAACATCCGATTGCTAACTTATATGCAAACATCTATTTTATTTTGCCAGGTCTTGCTCATACTGTTGTATTATTCTTAGCGTTTTTCATATTTCACAGTTTTCTGTCCTTAACTGTGGTAAAACCACGTAAGCGGATCAATCCTTAGTGAAGCTCTCAGTGGTGTCTCTGCATAAACCTGACCATTCAAGAATGAAAAATACAATAAATAACACAAAATTAACAGCATTTTATTATCAATGGAGACATAATTGGTCCAAAGAGATCCAGGTTTTAATTTTGTGTAATTACTTTTCGAATAAATTTAGAAGTTAAAGGAAATGAGTAAAAGCAGAAAAAAAAAATGAGAAAATGACTTGTGAAAACGCTAACACTCCGATACCATCAATGTCGTTATGGCCTTTGAAAAGTACTATAATTTTTAGATGCGGTCGACGGTGTATGCGTTTTGGCGATTTTTGAAATACTAAGTGCATCACAAGAGCAGCTGCCTTTCTGTTATTATTATTGTTGTTGTTGTTGTTGTTGTTGTTGTTGTTGTTGTTGTTGTWGTTGTTGTTGGGAAACCAGTTACAAGATAATTACTAAAATAATTCTTTACTTTACTTCTTTTCATTCTTTTTCGTTTTTTCTTTCATTCATTCTTTTTCCGTTTTTGTGTTTTTGTTTCTTTTTCGCCTTAATCTCTTTATTATTATTATGATTGTAAGTTAGAAGGAAAGATCAGCCAATCGGTATTTTATTGTATGTTTTGCCATAGACGGTAAAGGGTCTTTTATATAAAAATTATATCAAAAACCAGCCAAACATAAAACGAGTACTCCGCCAGATGTGTAACTCACTCTTCTTTTACTAAGAAAAAATACGAAYTCAGTGAGTTATAACAGCTGTGTATATTTCCGGAATGCGTTTGACATCGAACAGAGATCCAAAAGACAACTATGATAGATATAATTTACTCTAAATGAAAATAAAAACAAACAAATTCTTAATTAAAACTATAATGAGATAAGATCTAAACTATTCTCGAATCTACGTCTACGTGTTTCGCAGTCATATACTTTTTATRAATGATAAATTGCTTGGTATTATGAAACAAGAGTACGAAGAATTACTGTGTTCTTCGTCAGTTTACTGTCAACTTAATTTTTTTAATCACAGTTATACATAAATACATAAATCTAGAATGATTTATTTTAAATCATGAAATTGGAGGAATTATCTAGAAGGCAAAATAGCTGTTAAGTTTGTTTCGACCAAAATTAATACTTTTGSGACAAATCTCGACAGCTGATAAAATAAAAAAAAATCAGAAAATTCATTTTTTGTCTACTAAGTTTGGTAATTAATTTTAAATAATTCAGTAAGTAAACTGATCTAACGCAAATATATTGTTTGCTAATTTAGCTGATTATCAAACGGCAAATCATGCCAGACGCCCCTGGGCAAGAACAAGTGTCATGGTAAAAAAGGAATAAACTAGAATGTCCTCATGTAGATTTGTTTTCCTTTCTTGTTTTCCGACAGCTTTTGCGACTCTTTCTTATTATTATTTTTTTTTTTTGTATAAGCTTCGTTTCGTATTTATTACTGCCATCTTTACTTTTGCAAATGTACTTTCAATCCTGKTCATGTCTCAATAACTCATCTTTTTCACTTCTATTGCTTTTAAACAATAATTCTAATAATTAAGTGACTACTTCAAGTTAAATTTTGTGTACTAATCAATTTTCGTGGATATAATCTACCATTTATTAAGATTATTATTATTTTAATGATAACTAATAATGATAATTATTATAATCATTTAAAACCGTTATATCATCCAATACCTAATCCACTTTTCGATTTGGCTTTTTAACACAAAGGAATCGCATAATTATATTCAATTTTATTTCACATATATTTATTTGACGTTCTTCTATTTGGCCTTTTTGTCTTGATAATGACGCTAGCAAC